TGCCCATTATAGCATATAAGTCTTGGAGTCTTTAATCATTCAGTAGTAACTGGCTGGCACTTGGTGGATAATAGGATCCCAGTCACTCATCTCAGCCAACCCACTTCACAGGAAGTAGTATTAGGTATATTCATCACTTTGAGTTATTTATAAAAATAAGGGGGGGGGGGTAAACAATAAATAAATAATAAAACTTGGATGATCTCTATTTTCCTCCTTGGACACTAACTGTGGTCACATGTAACCCAGAAGTCATTTAAAAATAATTAAGCTGCAGGTAAAATAAGAGTCTGATATATGAAGCAATTTACAATTAAGTTATGTCATACATTTTTAGGATTCTAAAGTGCTTTGTAAATGTAGAAAATTGACACTGTAATAAATACATATTGTTTCTAATTTGGTTCTCCAACTTCATCTTCCAAAAGGGGCGTTTTCTTACCTGAACACCTTTTCTCAGCATGATGATGGAGAATCCACGGATGGGTTGTCTTAATCTATCTGCTCCAATTAGACTAGGTCTGAAATTTAGTACCACCCCCTCTGTGCCAACTGCACCCCAGTTTTAGGCTAAGGCGATACTCAGACTTTAGTCCGACGCGTCTGAACAATATGGGAACCAGGCCAACTGACCTAATGGGAGGGAGTGGATTCTCCATCATCATGCTGAGAAAAGGCGTTCAGGTAAGACAACGCCCCTTTCTCCAGCATGATTGGATGGAGAACCCACAGATGGGACATACCAAAGCCCTGTGTCCCTAGGGTGGGGAATTAGATTGGGCCTGGGTCCCATCCAACGTTAATGCGTGTTCTGGAACCTTGCGGCCAAATGAAGCCGTAGAAGATGCATATATAGCCCTCTTGTAGTGACAGACAAAGGAAGAGGGCGATGCCCATGTTGCTGCTCTACAAATTCCCTCTACGGAGGCCTGAGTAGACCAGGCAGCTGTAGTAGCTGCGCCCCGGTGGAATGGGCCGTGATATGCCTGGGATCTCGCAGTGACTGAGACTGGTATGCCCTCGTCCTCAAACAAAATCAGGCCAGATTGTTCAGCCCCTGTAGATTCCAAATCCGATGAGGGATCCTCCATCAAATCTGGAGATTGTGGATGATACGTGGCCTGGGGGGGTGGTGGCTGTGGGGTGTTGGAGGCCATAACTGAGCCACAGCCTGGGCTATCATGGACTGAAGGAGGTCCAGGTTCAAGGCCTGGTTCTCAGGAGGGCGAAGCCCTGCTGCAGTGGGGGTGAACGTGGCCTGGGGTCCTGGGGTGTCCTGGTTGGTTATGCCCCTCCCTGGGTCCCTCTTGTGGTTAAATCTAATAGGGGAATTCCCCTGGGGGGAGACCAGGCCCCTGGGGCTGAGGCACAATGTGAGGAAAGGGGTTCAAAAATGGACCTTCCCATCGTGCCTGTCAGATCTGGGGAGGCCGCTTTCAGTCTTTGGGACTCCTCCTTCCTCTGTGGCTCCCTGCTTGGCCGGGCTCGCTTGGTGGTGTTCTTTCCACTTGCCTCTGTTTGGCGTTTCCTCTTGGCCGGCTCGCTGATTTTCTCTGCCATGATGAGTTGCTCTGGGCTCAACCTTGGCAAAACGCCCCCCTCAGCGCTGTAACTCACCAAGGGAGCCTGCAGAGATGATTCAGCCCGTGAGGGGGGTGGGCGGGGAATTAATGGGCACGTCCCTTGGGAGCGAACAGGCCCTCCCTGGTTCAACGCTGTAGTCTCAAAGCCTCTGCCACCGGTGATGAACACTGCCTTCAGGAGAAACTCCAGGCAGTCTGGACCTCAGTCACACACAAAATGGCCACTGTGAGTCAATTCAAAATGGCGGCCGCAGAGTTCGCGCCCAAAAAACGGCAGTTAGAAGAAGGCCTTGAGGCCTGAGGCCTAAGCTGCGATGAGCCCTCGTTCTGAGGAATCGCTTGGGCTCCTAACGCAGCGAATGGATTCAAAAAAAAAAAGGCCATTAGAAGAAGAAGGCCTTGAGGCCTGTGGCCTAAGCTGCAATGAGCCCTCGTTCCGAGGAATCGCTTGGGCTCCTAACGCAGCGAATGGATTACAATTAGGTGAGCTGAGAGAGGCTGAGGCAGGCCGAGGCCTAGTAAGGCCTCCAGGCTCTGAAAATTGGATCGGTGCCAAAAACTTTCTCCTGCTGCTGGGGCGGTCTGCTGAGGCCGAGGGACCTAGAAAAGGCTCCCTCCAGGCCTGATGAGCCTCGTCGTCCCTTGCGGAGCCCCCCAGTCAATTGGCAAGCTTACCCCTGCCTCTAAGGCCTCCAGGCTCTGGTTAGAAGAATGGAGCCTCTGATGCAGAGGAACGGCCCCTGGTAGGAGATTTCTCTTGCTTCTGGGAATCCAATTTTCAAGCTGATTGTGAAGCTGAAAGGCTCTCAAAGGGAGAAAGGGAAAGTTCCCCCCCCCAAAGGGAGGTTTTGTCAGCCTGTCAGCCTGCTAGGCTACAGGTTGGGATGAAATAAAATAGGAATACGCAGTCTTCTGCTCCAGGAGCGAAGAAAAAACGCGTCTTAGAACAAAGAGACTAAGTCTAAAACTGGGGTGCAGTTGACACAGAGGGGGCGGTACTAAATTTCAGACTTAGTCTAATTGGAGCAGATAGATTAAGACAACCCATCCGTGGGTTCTCCATCCAATCATGCTGGAGAACATGGCTTTATTTGGAAAATGGTATCTTGTTTCTGTTTGTCCAATGTGAACAAGGATTCCCACAATATCACATGCTGATATGCCTCTAAAACAACAAATTTGACACCTTTTCAACTCCTCTTGAATAGCTTTTAGTTATGCTGCTCATCTCCACAATTACTGTTATTAGTGCAGCCCTCCTACTCTTACTTTCCTTTGATAGCCTGTGACAACATTCATTTCACAGAATGAAAGTTGTTTTGATAATGATTATTTGGTGATTATGTGTGAACTCTTAAATTACTTATCTTTATACCTTGTATTTATCTCACGTCAAACATTCAATTTACTGAATAACTTGTCATTTTTGATGAAGTGCTAAACCATATCTCATGTTATTTCCAAGCATAACAATAAACACTTAAGCAAAAAAAAAAAAAAAAAGCCAAAACTTTTCTCCTTGATACATGTTGTTATTTCTTTCTCCTGTGCTGGTCAGAAAAAGTTCAAAGAAAGCAAATGAAAGAGGTCTATTTCACCTGAAGTCAAAGACATAAAACAAGAACTATGTGTAGAGTCTTGTGTTATAATTTTATAACTTTCTATCATCAGAAATTATTTAGAATCCTATTTATTCTAAGAAATCATAGAACAGAATACTTCTGCAATTCTACTTCATGTAGGCAAATATGGGATAATAGATGTAATGACAAATAATTTTGCTTTTGTGAAAAATAAGATGGGGTGGACAAATATTTTCCACTAGATTAAGGCAGCCAAAATGTGCATTTTGTCCTCCTATTAAAAGTCTTATATTTTCATTGTCAACCTCATATGTAAATGAAGTGGTAAATGGGACAATCATCCCACTTCTCTTTTGAAAGAAGTGAAAACTCTAATATAAGGGAAAGCTAAAAATGTCATGGTGTTTTTGAACTAGATACTGCTCATAGAGGCAACCAACTGGCTGTTCCCTGTTACCAAGATAATTAATGCAAAGTTTTTAATATTTTTCCTAGCTGTCTTCTGGAAATAGCAATTATTCAAGGATTCCAGAAATGTGTAATCTACCAACCATTACATGTACTTAGTCATTCCATCCCATCCCATCTCATCCCATTCCATTCCCTAAATTACTCTTCCTGGGCAGGTGAAACATGTCAATATGCTTATATGTTATCTAAAGATTGTGGTCTTCCATAGAAACTTACTAATAATTTACAATAACTTGGCAAAAGTGACTAGGAACTTTTTAATAGTAGTACTCTAGTGGTGGAATTACATTCTGAAGAAAGTAAAAGTGGTTATTTTTGTTTTAAATTGGTATTAAGTACCAATTTAAATTGGTATTAAGTACCAATTAAGTACCAATCACCTAAATATGAGCCAGCAGTGTGCTGCAGCTGCCAAAAAGGCTAACACAGTGCTAGGCTGCATTAACAGAGGGATAGAATCAAGATCACGTGAAGTATTAATACCACTCTACAATGCCTTGGTAAGGCCACACTAGGAATACTGCATCCAGTTTTAGTCACCACGATGTAAAAAAGATGTTGAGACTCTAGAAAGAGTACAGAGAAGAGCAACAAAGATGATTAGGGGACTGGAAGCTAAAACATATAAGGACCGGTTGCTAGAATTGGGTATGTCTAGTTTAACGAAGAGAAGGACAAGGGGGGACATGATAGCAGTATTCCAATATCTCAGGGGCTGCCATAAAGAAGAGGGAATTAAGCTATTTTCCAAAGCACCTGAAGGCAGGACAAGAAGCAACGAGTGGAAACTAATCAAGGAGAGAAGCAACCTAGAACTAAGGAGAAACTTCCTGACAGTGAGAACAATTAACCAGTGGAACAGCCTGCCTCCAGAAGCAGTAAATGCTCCAACACTGGAAGTTTTTAAGAAGAGACTGGACAGCCATTTGTCTGAAATGGTGTAGGGTTTCCTGCCTGAGCGGGGTTGGACTAGATGACCTCCAAGGTCCCTTCCAACTTTACTATTATTATTATTATTAAGTACTTTTTGTGCTATTGTATGTTCAGCTTTGTATACTTTTTAATCTTCATTTGCATTTTATTGCTCCTACCTCCATGTTCTCATGAGAAGTTTTAATAATAATATTATAATCAGTCTGGGTGCCTTATATTTGTGTGAAATACCTTTCATAAATCCAATTAATTTATTATTGGTTGATTACTTTATATGGCAGAATAAGAATAAGATTTAACCTTTCCTATATGGTGCCAAAATCTAATTTATAATTTTACTTACTAGGAAGTTTTCTTCGGTTGCTTGGTTTGAGAAGGTATTATACATTTTTCAAATGGAGTGTGAATATATGAATAAAGAATACAACTGATTAGTGGAATGCCAAATTTTAGAAAGGTAACAATGTTACCTACTAATGCTTCAACAAATCGAACAGAGATTTTGGAGTAATGGGTGGGACACAGCAAACATCATCAGGTAACACACATACAACATAGAAACACAGATAAAAGCAAGAAACCATAGCAAAGTGAATAAAAAAATACAAGAGAAAACATATTTATTGCCAAATGCTGAAATATTTATTAGGCAAAGGAAAAGTGCAACTGTCTTACACCTCAGCAGGTGGCAGCACCTAACTGACCTTGTTGATTTTGAATGCTAAGAAAGGCCAGCTTAGGTTAATATTTGGAGGGGCCTAGCTGGGGATTCTTAACATTGTGAATGAAGATGGAATTTGTAGAAACATCCAAGAAGACAGGGGCAAACCATTTTTATAACTCTGCCTAGAAAACAATATGGATGTAGTAAGAAGAGTGGAGCCAGGCATGAAAGAAAAAAATACTATTTTAAAACTACCTTAGTGCAAATTTGTACTAAATAGTAGATATCTAGATTATTTAGATTTTGTGGCCAGGGGCTTTTTTTTTTTTTTTTTTTGCTGAAAGCTACAGCAATATCCAACAATTCAACTGAAAGTTTTCTGGGGAATAGGAAAACAATAGAGCTTGGGGCTACACACTTGGGGCCCACCCTTGGACTAAACAGAAAAGGCTTCTGTCTAAATCATTTGTCGCAAATTATTTCTAAACCTTTTTATTTGTGTTGGGCACTGCCTGAAGCATACTGAAAAAAGACTAGCACATGCTTTAAATCTTTCAATTAGGAAAAAAACATTATTCACACTTGATTAGCGCAGGAAGGAAGGAATTTGTTCTTCTCTTTAGCTGTGATTATCAAAAAGGAAATAGGGATAGATTATGTTGAACTAACATTAAAATCCTTCGGGTAGAAGGCCCAATATATTCAACACTCAACAGCCTTCTGAAAAATAGTGCTATCTGCTAAGGCTTGAACAGGGCTCTCAGCATGTTAATATTTCACGCACAATGCATCACAGTTCTAAAATTACCATGATTGGCGATGACACTTTGGAACTAACTGAACACAGCAGGGAGAACTGGTGTCATTCTAAGATGGGCTTCAAAAAAACATGAAAAGCATTGCCAGGGAAAGACTGGCATGGTCTACTCTTAGGAAGTCTTCAGAAGGCAGTGTTGAATAATGAGAACTGTGAAGAGTCTATTAAAAAAAAAAAAAGCATCAGGATTTCCCTCCTGCAGTGCTCTCTCAGGCTGGTATGTCTTGTGCTTTGTCTCTTCAAGAAATACTCTTGTTGCAGGTGGCTGGCAGAAAACAAGGAACACTGCCCATGAATTGAGGTTTGCATTAGTGATTGGATAAAAATAGTGGTGTTGCTCACCTTGATCTAATAGCAGGGCTACAGCCATTGGTTATGGCTGTTTGTACTCCCCCAGATGGAACTCTCCCAGGTGTGTCTTCTGAAACCACACACAGAGGGCGAGGGCTTTCTTTCTGCTCTCCTTTCCAGCAACCTGGGAGGTATTTCAGAGGAACCTGTATATTAAACAGGCCTGGTATCTCCTAAATAGGTGGACAGATAACACTCACTGCGCCACCTACCCACCTCTTTGTCCTAGAATGCCAGATTTCAATCCCCATTTGGCTCAACAATATTGTTCCCCCGCGGGGAGGGGGAGTTTCCAGATGACTTGCTTTTGAATAGCGGGCAAGGATGAAAAGCCTGTGCCAGTCGCAGATCCGGCCGGTCTCTTTCTTCCCTCCTTTTTAGCTTCTCTCTCGCCTTCCTTCCCCTCTCCTCCAGAACTGGGGTCTCCTCTAGAAGTAGCAAGCTATTTGTTCGTTAGCGAAGACGAAAAAATAAAGCAGCAGCAGCAGGAAAAGACAGCAAGGAAGCGCCGCCGAAACCGAGGGGCGGAAGGCGGACTGTAGCGAGAGACAGGGGCGGACCAGAGGGGATGGCACGCAAGCGCGAAAGAAGCTCGGTGAGCCCCACGCGGGCGCTCGCGGAGCCTTGGCTGTGGTTCTTTCAGTTCAGCTGTGAAGGGGCCTCGGGGCAGTAGGGAGTCAGCGACGGAGTGAGCCGCCCGCTATTTGGAGAGCGGAGCAAGGCAAGCAAATTCCGGACAAGGGTTGGTTCGAAAGGTGGAGCGGCAGCCGCTCTCGCCCTGCCCGCCCGGCCAGCCATGGGGTAAAACAGCCACAGAGCGGACGCCGAAACAATAAAGCGGCTGGTGCTACCGGGCTCCTCCCGCTGCTGACAGCGCCTGGCCGAGTGCGGGGAAAGGAGCGAAGATGCCGGGGGCCGGCAGGCGTTGACCGACCGGCCTGCTAAGCAGGAGAAGGAAGCCAAAGTGAAGCCAGGCGGTTGGGAAAGCGCGCGGTGGATGCGTTTCGGGGGTTTGGAGCGGCGGCGGCGGCAGCAAAGGAAGAGGCGGAGGTCGGCGGGAGCGGAGAAATGATCGCGGAGTTGGTGAGCAGCGCCCTGGGGCTCGTCCTGTACCTCAATACCCTGGGCGCGGATTTCTGCTACGACGACAGGTAAATGGAGGAGTTGGAGCTGGAGAGTTGGTGGGCGCTCCGGCCGAGCGACTGCTGCGAGAGGCCGTGCCCTTCCCCAAGGGATTCCCGGTGTGTGTATTGCATGTTTGAGATTGGGTTTGCGATTGTGTGTTCTTCGGGAGGAATGCAAGTTACAGGACGCGAGAGCGCTCTCCGTGCGAGGTCCTCCGATGGAAGCGATGTCTCCCCTTAACTCATCCGGTGGCTGGAATAAGTCACCTTTTAGTCTCTCATCTTCTCTTTCACCTGTTGAGGCGTCCAAGTGTTCCCCTTTTTCTTCTATTGGGTAGGTTTTCGCCTATTTCCCTGCCACCTTGTAAATGGAGTTGCTGTTGCAAGTACTCTGCTGTCGAGAAACACTCGCAATTCATAGATTTCCTCGATTGTCAAGTTACTTTGGTCGAATAGCCCTAACGGGAATAAACAAAAGAGCCAAGAAGCTGGCAGAGCCAACCAATCTAATTGTAATAAACCTCTGTCTAATCCCTTTTCTTCCCTGATCGCCTTTTCTGTTCCTTGCAAATATACCTGCGTTTCATGGGAGGAACAATCTGCTTTGCTTGAGACTTAATTACATGACCATGTGTGCATGCTATAGTATTTTGTACCGGAGAAGTGTTATGTTTTTTTCTCCCTTCAAAGCAACACCTTAATAGCAGGCCGTCTAAACGATGTTACATCTGGACAAGAAAGGAAGGAGAAAAAAGTCACATCACATTTTGGATTGATTCCATTTGTTTCTCTTAACACTCTTGTTTCCAGAGCATAACATACTTCTGACATTCTCTTAGATTCTCATACACATGATAAAAAAAAAAAATGGAAATAACCTTAAAATTTCAAAAGTAGTGATCTAAATCTGGGCTTTCTAATTTTAAAGTTTTACCTTTTAAATGCCATGAGTGTATCAAGAGAAAGCCACATGTTCTTGTTTAGAAGTTTCCTAGAATGAGTGCTGATACTGAAAAACATATTTTTCTAAGTACACTGAACTCTGTGAGAAATTAAGTTCTGAAATAGAAACTTTTGCTTTAACTTTACTCATAGGGGCAGTACTTGCTTGAAAAATCAAAGAGTAGCTGTTTTTAAGAGTCTGCAAGTGGGCGCCTGTGCATACATTGTCCTTAAAGATTTGCTTGGCAGGTTTTTTTAAGCATTTATGTTGGGCCTTGGTCTGTGTATAAAACATTGCTAATGGAGTAAAATAAAGGACCTAGGACTTAAATTTGCTTCTTTTGAGTTTGGACTGCTAATGAAAGCTGTACAGAATTGCTGAATAAAATGACACTGATGTCTAGAAATGTCACAGTTGTGCTGGTGTTTCTACCTTTCGTTAAATAAAACCCTGTTTTACGAAATTGATGAAAAGATCTTAGTAATTAGAGAAACTTCCAATTTGTTCCTTTTTCAGTGATGTAATCTGATTGCAATTAGAGCAGATGCATAATTAAAATATATTGGGGAGAAGAGCATGCTTGGCTGAGCTTATAAACCATTCTGGGGTGTTTGTATGGTCCATTGACGTTAAATCATCCAAAAAGTGAGCAGAAGTTTACTCTGACAGCATTTCATCAGCCCCTTTCTGTAAGGAAAGTGAATAGATCCCTTGGGTGAGAGTGAACTGCCCTTCAGTAAAGTGTTTTTGCATTGATAGGAATTTTCTTACATGACAGTAATATGATACCACAGTATCTAAAATATCCAAACTATGCTGTTTGAGAAATTTATAGATGAAAAATTTGAAGTTCTGCTTTTATACCTTCATTAGTTTCATAATTATCAATAAAGAAAATTATTTAGTGGCTTCAGAAAGAGTATTTGGAGAGGGTTGTTTATAAAGGCAACCTGAGGGAGGACAGCAAAGCCGAGTCTAGCAAAGCTATCTGATGCCTTAGAGGGAAATGTGCAGAAAGGAAAAGAGCCATTCTTGCTCTACAAATCATTTGCCCTGCAACACAATCTGCCCATGTTTAATCAGTGAATAGTCCATTTGAAAAGTTTCTTTTGTTTCAGATTTGTTGCACCTGTTATTATTAGGGAGTTAATGTTAGAGTTAACTCGTGTTTTTTTTGTTTGTTTTATAACATTGAATGCCAATTTCTGTGTCTTTTTAGTTATATTAAAAATCTAGTCATTTAGCAATAAAGAACTGATGAATTCTTTAAGATATTTAATAAAACATTTACATGTATTGTAGTTTGGAAATGATTTTTAAAGGTAGAAAACAAAATAATGTAAAATCCAAACAAAATCTGAGTCACGATACTAAAATATAGTTTCTAAGTTGCTAATGTCAGGATATTAAACTGTTGAATGCATTATCACCATGGCTGATAAAATTTGTTTATTTAATTGATTTATCAAATTAATATGCCCATCTTATGGTTCAGGTATCTTTGAGTGGCTTACATAAAGATAAAAAAAATACTCAGCAATCATAAATGTAAAAATGGATTAAAATTACAAAAAAATAAAACAAACTAAAAAACAAGGAGGGGAGAGATGGGGTGCCTTCTTTGTTAGTCTACAGCAGGCATGTCAAACTGCTGGGCCGCGGGCTGGATGCGTCACGCCGAAACTGCTTCCACCCCATTGCTGGCAATGGGGAAAAAGTCCCGATATGTGACGTCGTCACGACTTTGAAATGCCTGGTCTACAGTATGCAACTAAGTCTTGACAGATATGACAATTATGCTTAGTTTTCTAAGAAAGGCTGTACTTGTCTTAAAGACAGATTGATGAAACATACCGCACCTCAATTTGTTGGCTGAAGATAGATGGTAGTTCAGAACATTATTCAAGAACATGAATGAAAAGTTTATTTCTTGTCATTTGTTTTTTGACATTTGCTGATTAGACAAAGGATCAAAGGATCTTTAGTCAAAGATCTTAGTTGTTTTAGCCATAACTGTACCTTAATGTGATTAGACAAAGATAGCAGTACTTAAAATGTAGGCTATTTATATTTTTTGCTATTCATATAATTATGCGGGGAGCTGCTTGGTATTAATTAATTAATTAATTAATCATCAATTACACTGTATTTTCACCTGTAGGCTTGTTAAATTTCTCTAAAAACAAGAATCTTAAACACTCACTGAATTCTGAAATATACTGCCATGTGTGAATTAAGATTATTTATTATTCTGCACACTAGTCAACTAATTTTATATTATTCTGGGGAGAAAGGAGAAATTGCAAGGGATTGAAGGCTTCTTCCATACCACTACTTCATACCATAAAACTATTTTCAGAGTTAAGTCCTTAAGCTGAAATATTGTACTAGTCACAAAGTAAAGTTTGTCAATCTTCCTCTAGAAAAATGTATATGTTTAAGTTAGCAGAACAAAGCAAACCACCTACGAAAATGAATATAGATGATAGTTCAAATGAAAATAGGTGCTTGTAAAGTGTCCCAAAGATGCTTTTTCAAAAGGCAACAACAACTTTGTTTTTTCCTTGAGGACGTTTCAATTCTCATCCAGGAAGCTTCTTCAGTTCTTCAGCTTCTTGGATGAGAAGAAACATCTTCAAGGAAAAACAAAGTCCAGTTGTCTTTTGAAAAGCACCTTTGGGACAACCATGACTTGGATGACTGAAAACCTCTATAGATATGTGCCTGTAAAGTATTTTAGGAGTTTTGTAAGATTAGATAACATCCTAATTTTCATACAATAACATCATTTCCTTAATGATAAAAAAATTGAAACCAATGTGCAGGTATGACATAGAATTAGGTTACCTATAGTTCCTCCTTCTATTGTGATGTCAAATTTCATTTTAATTATAATAAAAGATTAAAACAGGCAATTGACTTATGACTGTTCACTTAACAGTGGTTCAAATTAACAGTAGCTTTTGAAAAAGTAATTTATAACCTAAATGTGAACTTACAACTGTCGCACTGTCACCATGTCTACATGATCATAATTCTGATGCTTAGCAACCAGCTTTCATATATAACCAGTTGCAGCATCCCATGGTCATGTAATTGTGATTTGTGACAAAAACCAGCAAAAAACAACTTTGGGAAAACTGGATTTGGACTTACAACCATGTGATTCAAATTACAAATCTGGTATCCCCACTTATGACTGCAATAAAAATGGTCATAAAATTGGATCTGGTCACATAATGACTTGACTCAGCACTGCTCATGATAGAAATTCTGATCTCAGTTGTGGTCATAAGTCAGGGATTATCTGGACTTTAATTTTAAAAAAGATTTTGAAAAGATTTGACACACTCATTACATGTACATGTACCTAGGCTTATATATATGTACTACAAGTAGCTTTGAAAATTTATTGGAGACATGTTTGTTAAAAAATTATAACAATGAATAAGATCTTATTGACTATTGTAGAGTAAATATCCTGTTTCTTCAGTCTTGATAAAATTGTCTTGATAAGCAAAAAAGTGGAATTCAGACAGAACATACAGTAAATTCTTCTGTTGTTAGTGGGCAGATCAGATTAATCCCTAATGTTGTTAAATATAATGTAAAAACAGTCCTGCTGGATCATCCTCAACCTGCTGTATTCCACTGTCCTATTATTATTTGGTTTGATTTATATCCTATGTTTATTTTGTACAATTCAATATGGCAGCCACCAGTTTTGGTCGTTTAATTTCATGGAACACAAGAGAATCAGTCGCGACCACTTTGAATGACTATAGGTTATTTTCACTGTCAGAGGGGTGATTCCTGAGGGAAGTAACAACAAAAAGAGGATGCGCCTTCATTTTTGGGATTTTCAGACAGGCATCTGGTATGCTACTATGCAAAACAGGATTTAAGAATAAACAAGCCTAGGCCTGATAAAACAGAAATGTTCTTGTGTTCTTAAATCCCCATGTGATATCCTTTATGGTGTATCTTGTTTCAACTAAAGCTTGGTTACAGGACCATGAAAATATATATTTTCCCATTTTTTGATCTTTGCTGTTAGTCTTCTGTCATTCTGGTAGAAAGGGGA